AAAAGAGGGGGAAAGAGAGTTTTAGTGATTAGGACTCTTCTTTTGGCATCATCACAAAAGGGGGAAATTGTTAGACCCCAGATTTTGATGAACTGTTTTGATGATGCCAAAAGCTTTTGTTTCCCCCCCTCTATTGTAGCATTATTATAGGAGTCTTTGTTATCCTCTGTTGTAGCATCTTGCAGTTGTCTAGTACTAAGAAAATTATCTAGATGTGTCGTGCTCCTTTTTATATAGTTAACAAATAAATATGACTGGAAAACCATAAAATGCAATAAGGCAATATTGTATTGCCTTAAAAGGATATCGTATAAATCCAACCAGTTAAATTTATTTGTTACACACAATAACATCTCGTACAAATAAACTATCTATTTTAACTGGAAAACAAAATGCAATAAGGTAATTTTACCTTAATAGGAGTTGATATCCTACCAGTTAAATATTTAGCTTATCATGTTCGAAATACTAGATAAACCATACACTCAGAAGAAGAGTTCTTGATATTCTATTCACTACAACAAATAACAATGTAAATTCTATATAACAAAAAGAACACACTGGGATTCAAAATGAAATAAGGTAAAGTTGTCTTTATCTTAAAATTGGATATTTAAATCCAACCAGTAAAGTGTTATTTGATATATACATAAATCAAAGTGAACAAGAATAGTGAACAACTAACTGGAACACAAAATGCAATAAGGTAATAACTTTTACCTTAATAGGATTTGTTATCCTACCAGTTAAGTTGTACACAATACCTGCTAAACTACACAAGTACTTAAAAGTGACAAGAATTCCAATGTACAAACTATGTATCAGATTAAACATACTGGAACTATAAAATGCAATAAGGTAAAAATTATTTACCTTACATGGATATTTAGATCCAACCAGTATAGCTTTAATTTGGTACATAAGTTTAATCATGTCACTTAAAGAAAGAAAGTGATTAGTAAAATAAGTGACAAATTTTACTGTGAAATTTGTACCAAATAAATTGTACTGGAAAGAACAAAATGCAATAAGGTAATCTTATTACCTTAATAGGATATTTCAAAGATCCTACCAGTACAAAATTTATTTGATACAAAATATTCTAAGTCACACATTTTACTACTTCACTACTTAAGCAGGTTCACGCACTCAGCTTCACAAGTGTAGTTGCAAGACAAATACACGCAGAATGCAAGAGCAGAGAAGACATCAGAATAGGTGAAAAGTGAAAGAGTTTCAGAATAGGCATGCAGCGATAAGAAGGCCTAAGGTATGGGTGTTATCTTCGTACAAAGCAAGTGGCCTTCAAAAGACAAATCCTTATCCTGCTCCAACACAAGAAGACGCAAGTACAATACTTTGGACGTCTAGGATTAAATCCTCTTAACCAACGGAGGAGATTAATCTACTGGAGATGCCTATAAAAATAGGCAGAAGCATGAGATCAAAAGCAAGTCATTGAGTTCAAAGCAAGTGGTTCAGTCATTACACTACGAATATCCAGCAAAAGGAAAAAGTGCTTGAACACTCTGCTTTGACTCATGCTTCACTAAGCTCTTAGACTAGATCATTCATTGTAACATTTATAGAGCTTAGGTTTTAGTTGGCGGTTAGACACTTCGTGAATCAATTCATGTTGTTGTAAACACTTAGGAGAACAGTTGTTCGGATCCTATAGTGTGGTTAGATAGATAGAGTACCTTTTGATCCCCACTGGATCAATCGAGAAAAGTCTTAAGGTTTGAGTAACTTGGAGTGGTGTTATACTCCTCGTGAAACGCCTTCAATCTAGGCCAGAGTTGTCAAGGCTAGATTGGCACTAATTGTATTGGGCTGAATACTTTAGTGGAAATCCATCTGAAATAGGGTGGGACTGGATGTAGGAGGATTACACCACCTCTGAACCAGGATATATCGTGTGTTGATTTACTTTCATACATGCAGAGCACACACCAAACACATCTCACTAAAGGATTGTAGTTTGCCAGCAGCATCCTAAGCAGTAGTCTTCATCGACTGTACTGCTTAGCCTACTGCTTAATAACTCACTCTCCTTGAGAGTGTTTTCCACTAGAAGTTATCTTACACTCAGAAGGTGCCTCAGCAGTACCCTGGTCTTCACCCTCCTGCTGAGCCCACTGCCCATCCATATGTGTCTTTCCAAACGCCATAACAAGCCAGAACAAAAAGCCATCCAAGAGTCATCCTGTTCTTAACAGTTGCCTCAGCAGTAACCTGCCTACCAGCCGACTGCCAACTCAGCAGTTGCCTGCCAGTCAGCAAACTGCCTGTGCAGCAGTAGACTAAGCAGTTACCTGATCACCAGTCTACTGCCAAGCCTACTTCCTCTTGTAACCAGTCTAAACATCATCTAAACTAGAAAGTTATCTCACACTAAGTATAAAGAGGTTAAAGACTTCCGCTGTGCATCTATTAATCTCTTAAAAGATTATAGATCAACTCATCTAGAGGGAAAAGTGTTCCAAAGTTTAAAAAGCTTTAAAAGTCTATTCACCCCCCCTCTAGACTTTTACCTCTATCCGGGACCATCAAGTGGTATCAGAGCGGTGTGTTCCTAGATTCAGTTTCTGACTACTTTTGAACTAAAGATCCAAATCCACTTTTATCCCAAAACTTTCTAAATGATGGATGAACAACAAGCAAAGAATCTGTTGATCAATAGCAACAAATCCAATGACTAGAAAACAAAGGATGTATGGGATGAACTCACGGAGAGTCAAACAGAAGATGATAAAAGCAACTCAAATGAAGAAAACTGCTCATCAGAAAGGCAGAAGGATGCTATTACTTGCCTATTTGGAATGTTCCCAGAAAATAGCTCCTCTCACAACTATGGTATGGCCATATCTTATGAAGGTGACAATGATGAGGTATTATCCTGTTCTTCAAACGATTCATATGATTCCAACTCTTCCAGTGTAGATATGGAGACATTGCTCCATCAATTTGAAAACTTCCAAAAAGAGCACCTTAGCTTAATGAATGAAAACTGTAGACTTCAAGAAAATCTTTTAGTAGCTCATGCACAATTGGGTGAAGTAATCAAAAAGATAGATTTTCTTGAATGTGAAAACATCAGTTTGAAAGAAAAGCTAAGCCCCCTCACTCCCCCACTCACTAAGGAAGTTCAACACACTGAAAAAGACACAGGATACACATCATGTTCCCACTCATTGAAAAACTCTCCCAAATACTCTTCTACCACAAAACATACTTTCAAAGAAGACACAAAGTCTCTTAGCCACCAACACTCCCACATCCATATAGTTCCCACAAGAAGGAACATGTCTGCTCCCAAACCAAAATCAAAATCCCTGTACAAACAGAAACTTCCTATCAAACAAGAAAACCAGAGAACCAGTTGGCAATTCACCAATAAGACCAACCACCCACCTAAGAAGAAGCCAAACCAACCCAGAAGAAATCACTCTTATCCTACATACAGGAGAGAAATGATTAACTCATACACAGTCACCACAAAAGGCTGTAGATCACACTGCTTAAGGGAAAATGGTTCTAAATGGGAATGGATGCCCAAATCTGTTCAAAGGAAGTTGCCCACTTCAATGTGGGCTACCACCACTCAACAATGATAAATACAGGAGGGTGCTGGAGCAACTAACTCAACTGAATAGTACATACATTCTAGTTGCTCTAAGCACATGACAAGGAGCAGAAGGCCACTGACAAACTGTTCAAAGGAAGAACCCAAAGAAACACTTGCAGAAGAGGAAAAGAGAAGAAGATATCAAAGGAGTTGGAGATTCAATCAAATGAAGAACTTACAAACCAATACACACCTTGTGTTGAGGTTTTAAAGTTCAATCAAATGCACAAGCCAACTCCAGATCAACTGTTACATCTTCCTCAAGAGATGTAACTGTGCTTAAAGAAAGATGAAGGAAGGACCACCTAGGTGATGGAAGAAGAACAGCTGAGACCATCTCAAGAAGGTGACTCAGATGCCAGACTACTGCTAGCAAAAGACTCAGACTGAGACAACTGCCAGCAGTAGGATCAGATAAAAAAGGATCCTCACCAAAACTGAAGCTCATATTCCCCAAATTCTACCAATTGTTAGACACAAGATGATGAAAACCAGTAGTCTCAAACCAAGCATGTGGCAACATCCTCCTCAACAAGAAGGCATCCATGAAGGGATTCGTACTAGATCATCACTCTAAAGGGAAGCCAACTTCTCTCTCAAACAAACTGAATCCAAGAAACCTTCTTAACTTCAGACTGGATACGAACCATACACAAAGTTCTCTATCTTAGAGAAGAATGATAACTTGTGAAGGGTATTCAAAAAAATTGGATGATGAAGGTACCATCATCAAGAAAGGCCTTTGCCTTTCTGAATGATCTACTAAAAGAGGAGGACCATGTGAAGAAAGGAGCCCCAAAAGAATGAAGAACTCAACTCTAGAACTAAGGGGAATTCCTAGCCACCTGCTGAGGGGGAACTCTTATAAAATACTCAAGGATAGCCGGCTGTATAAAGCAGACTACAATGAGTACAGACCATACTGCTCAAAAGAACCCTCTGAAGAACCAGCATCCTGCCTGAGTCCACTGCTGAGCCCTTGATAAAGACAAGAAAAGTAGTCTAGTGCATCCACCCCAAAGGAATAAAGCATCAAGGTCCAAGGAAGTCAATCTCAGACTTTCAATTAAGAAGGGGGAACAAATCCAAACAGAAGATCAGCAGGAGACTACTTTCTGGAAGCAGAAGCCTCAGCAGACACCTGCTCACCAAAAACAGCAGACTCAGCAGACTGCTGACACTCAGGTCACTGCTACATACGAAAAGGAAACTTCTAAAGAGCATCATCCAAGGGGAATTGAGTGTTGTTCAACAAGAGTCATGACCAATAAACAAGATAAGTCAACAATCTGAGATCATGCATTATTCATAAAGGTACCATGCTCACTTATTCAAACTCAGTAGTATGGAATAAACAAAAAATGCTACTATTCTGAAATGGATTCGTACTACTCCTCAAGGGATCCCGGCTTATTGCTCTTTCCTTGTGCCTATTTCGCTATAGGCGGTTGGTTCGTCACTTCAACAGCCTTCGATAGTTATACAGGTATCCACATACGAACGAGATGGATGCTTGTGTTCGCAACCATTCTTTCATGATCTACTAAAAGAGGAGGACCATGTGAAGAAAGGAGCCCCAAAAGAATGAAGAACTCAACTCTAGAACTAAGGGGAATTCCTAGCCACCTGCTGAGGGGGAACTCTTATAAAATACTCAAGGATAGCCGGCTGTATAAAGCAGACTACAATGAGTACAGACCATACTGCTCAAAAGAACCCTCTGAAGAACCAGCATCCTGCCTGTCACGCCCCGGACCTATCCGGACACGTCAACAACCCGCCGTACAATATGAATAGTCAACCGCAGTCCAACACATTCATATTATACAAGGCGTCTTGAATATCATTCACACATGTACATCCATAAACAAACATAATAAGTAATTCATAACGCAGCGGAAAACATTGTTTAAAACAAAGGCCACACCGGGCTATTCATGAGCACGCAGGCTCTATAGTAAAATATCCATAAGCATGTTTATTAATGTTTAAAAACCGAATGGAGGAAGCACGAACCAAGTCTTCCCTCCTAGATGATCACTCGAGCAACGAGCACAGGAAGCAAGCTCTAGCCTCAACCTGAAAAATGGTAGTGGGATGCCCCCGAAGGGGTCAGCACTCTATAGGGCTATAAAGTGCTGGTGTGGATGGCATCTAATAGATATACAACAAGTATTTCAAACACAAGACCCTCAAATAGGGTGATAATATAATCTAGGCCGTAACCCCAAGTTACCCCTTTTCAAAAAATATACTTACTTTATATATAATGTCAAGTAGTCGGCCCGTAGGCCCAAGGTTTGTTTATCAAACATACCCCAAAATCCCGTGACCCCTAGTCACAACAATACATAGGGTTCAACCCCAACACATATGTTTGCATTCTCGAGTCCAACTCGACTACATCACCATGCACCTTAATTAACATAAGCTAACTACTCCACCGTGCATTTCTCGAGTCCAACTCGACTACACCACCACGCACAACAATCACCTCATCATGTCTACCCAATGCAATTCTATGAGCACGGCTCAAGTACATCTCCTTACATTGGCATAGACCCCAATTCCTAAGCACTACAATCTCCTCATCATGTCTACCCAATGCAATTCTATGAGCACGGCTCAAGTACATCTCCTTACATTGGCATAGACCCCAATTCCTAAGCACTACAATCTCCTCATCATGTCTACCCAATGCAATTCTATGAGCACGGCTCAAGTACATCTCCTTACATTGGCATAGACCCCAATTCCTAAGCACTCACTATGCCTAGAATTGTAATATCAATAATCTATTTTGGGACATCCTTACGGACTGCCCAACCATGGTCTTAGCATCGCATTACATCAATTTAGTCACTTGCATCACAATCAAGTTCATCAATTTCAATCAAATCCATAGATTCAATTCCTTAACAATTACAACAATCATTAACTAGTATTTCAATACTATTAAGATTATTCTTATCCATCATATATTCCATTTGTAAAACCCTACATATTTAGAGATATGTAGCAGCAACTTAATCATTCAATGTAATACATAAATAATCATTTATGTATCCACACAATTCACACATGAGTAAAGTGACTATTTCACACAATAGTTCATTTAACTCCATTTTTATCAATACTTTACCAAATCATTTCTCATTTCATTCTTTGGAAAATAGATCAATATTCCATCAATAATTTATCATCATAATCCATGGAAAACATTATTTAGGCATTTAGGTAATCTCATGCTTAACCTACAAGTTGTAAGCAACTAGATGTCGATCCTCACCTCAAATGAGTTTTAAAACTTTCCTTCTCGATCCAATGACCAAAGCCTCGGCCAAGGAAGCTTGAGAACTGATTCCTTGCTTAGAAATGGGTGCTAAACAGCCTCCTCAAGTTGCTATTTCAACCCCTAATCGTTGATACGAAAACAGCCCCTAGAACGGGTGTTTTCCGGCTAACTCGATTCCTAGTTTTCCAATATTTGCATCTAGGTTAGTATCTAACCTTTACATCAATAAAATAACTTAATAGGGATGTTTTATACACTTGGAGTAGTGTATAATAGTCCCACCAATCGTTCATATCATTTGGAAAATGAATGGAAAAGTTTTGGGATTAAAAACTCACTTAGAAGAGTAAATCCGTCCCTGCGAGGTCGCGTTCTGCTCGGACGATTTGGAAGCCTTGCTCTACTCCGATTGATGCAAACCAGACCTTCACGGATTCCTCGTCTTGAGAGCTTTCTTTTGGTATCTCACACGCCTTAATTGGATTGGTAAAACTCGAGATATCAACCAAACAGTCTCAGCACTCTCACAGCTCGAGTTCACAGACCACTGCTCGTTCCAGATCGATTTTTGGATGATTACCCTCTCCTCTCGAACAGAGACCACTCAATTATAAAAATAGACTTCAAAAGCTATCCAAGGACACCTTATACACCTCATTTGGACGAGTACAACTCCCCTTAAGGAGGGAGACAAACCACACCCATAATTTGTGCGGAAATTGACAAGGTGGGTCTCAAGTTTGATTCCAATCAAGTCTTGTGCAGCCCTCCTCCAGCTTGTGCGGCCAAGGTAAGTCTCCTCACTTATTTTTCTTGTCTTGCAGGTACTAAAATCATGTGGAGTAGTTCCCAATTGATCCCAATTATTTTGGGGTCCAAAATATCTACCAATACTCCCAAAAATGGGAAGATGGGTCCTATTAATTTATCTTTTGTCAAAGATGTCTTTTTGTACTCATCCTAATTTATTTAGAACAAGTCAACTTCCTACATCACATTATTGATCTCCAATATGTGTAGGCTCATCTCAATAATTTACTTGATGGACATTATAGAAGGAAAATCTTACTCCCATTATCTAGCTCAATAATGTCAAAGATGGTATCATAGACATTTGTATTCATCTCAAATCATCCTATCACTTATTTTGACATTTGTCATTCATATTATTGGGCTACAAGCCGTGTGGGTCGCCCCCGAGTGGGCCTACGACGCCGTCCTCAAATATTTGCTATTTTAGCAGGTTGGGCCCGAATAATATATGGGCTGCCCGCCCTTCCTCAACTTGTCTTGAAACGTTATGTATAACTATTTAGATAACGTTAGGATCTTTTATTTATTAATAAGGCCCCAACGAGTATTCGCAAGCCCAACACTAACGTACGAGTTCGAGCGGTAAGATAATCGATCATAAATTACGTAAAACATAAATCGTTTTACAATTGTTTGGGAATCAGAAATCCAATACATAAACTTTGAATTTTAAATCGAATTTTCAAGGACGTTCGGGAGCGGTGTCACAAGTTCACCCCCCCTTAACAGGAATTTCGTCCCCGAAATTCACAGCTCTACTCGAATAGGAATGCATACTGCTTCCTCATCAAAGCTTCTGTTTCCCAAGTCTCTTCTTCGACCCGGTCACTCTTCCAAAGGACTTTAACCATTGGAACCTCTTTACTCCTCAGTTTCTTCACTTTTCTGTCATTAACTCTCACCGGTTGCACGGCATAGTTCAAATCTTCACGTACCTCCACGGGCGGCTTCTCCAACACATGAGAAGGATCATGCACATACTTCTTAAGCATGGACACGTGAAATACATTGTGAATCTTCTCCAACTCAGGAGTCAACTGTAGACGATATGCTACGGCCCCAACCCTCTCTATGATTCTGAATGGGCCTATATATCGTGGGTTAAGCCTTCCTCGGGTTTGAAATCGAATGATTCCTTTCTAAGGAGAAACTTTCAGGAATACCTCGTCATCAACCTTAAACTCTAAGGTTCTTCTACGCTTATCTGCATAACTCTTTTGCCTATCCTGAGCCGCTTTGAGTCTCTCTCGAATCAATTTCACCTTTGATTTGGTGACCTCAACCAACTCAGTACCCTCGAGTTTGGCCATGCCAACCTCGTCCCAGCATAACGGTGTACGACACCTCCTCCCATACAATGCCTCGTATGGAGGCATGCCGATGCTTGCCTGATAACTGTTGTTATAAGCAAACTCCACAAGTGCTAAGTGGTTGTCCCAACTTCCTTGGAACTCCAATGCACAAGCCCTCAACATGTCTTCCAAGATCTGTATGACTCTTTCAGACTGTCCATCCGTCTGTGGGTGGAAAGCAGTACTGAACTTCAACCTTGTTCCCATAGACTCCTGAAATTTCGGCCAAAAACGTGATGTGAATCGTGGGTCTCTATCGGATACAATAGTCACTGGGACCCCATGCAGCCTCACGATCTCATCCGTATACAATTTGGCTAACCTCTCAAGTGGGTAGGCAGTGTTGATAGGCAAGAAGTGTGCACTCTTTGTGAGCCTATCCACAACGACCCAAACTGCATCATAGTTCCTGATTGTCCGTGGTAAACCTACCACGAAATCCATAGCCACGTGTTCCCACTTCCATTCAGGAATGGAAAGTGGCTGCAATAAGCCTGCTGGATGCTGATGCTCCGCCTTAACTTGTTGACAAGTAAGGCATCGACTAATGTATTCGGCTATTTCCCTCTTCATTCCAGACCACCAGTAACTTTCTTTCAAGTCACGGTACATTTTCGTGCCCCCCGGGTGCATGGCATAAGCCGATGAATGAGCCTCCTCTAAGATGGACCTTCGGAGCTCATCATCTGACGGTACACACACTCGGTCACGAAATAACAAGAGACCATCATCTCTTTCCCTGAAATCCTCCACCGGTCCCGCTTGCATGCGTTCCCGGACCTTCATAAGTTCTGTGTCCTTCTCTTGACCCTTCTTGATCTCATCAAGTAGAGTCGGTCTCACTTCGAACCGTGCCAATAAGGCACCGTCGCTAGATACCTCCAATTGGGCCCTCAGTGCCCTCAAACTAGTCAACAATGCCCCAGACGAACTCTTCCGGCTGAGGGCATCTGCTACAACGTTTGCCTTACCTGGATGGTACTCAATAACTAGATGGTAGTCCTTTATCAACTCCATCCACCGTCTCTGTCTCATGTTTAACTCTTTCTGAGTAAACACGTACTTCAAGCTCTTATGATCGGTATATATGTGACATTTCTCTCCGTAGAGATAATGTCTCCAAACCTTCAGTGCAAACACCACCGCTCCCAGCTCCAGATCATGGGTAGGATAATTTACCTCATGCTTCTTCAACTGTCGTGAAGCATAGGCAATTACCCTCCCTTCCTGCATCAACACACACCCAAACCCTTGGATGCTCGCGTCACTATAGACATCGTACCCCACACCCTGTTTGGGTAATGCAAGTACCGGTGCCTCAGTCAATCGTTTCTTCAGTTCGATGAACCCTTTCTCACATTTGTCATCCCATATAAACTTAGCTCCCTTTCGAGTGAGCTTCGTCAACGGCGACGCCAAAACAGAGAACTTCTCCACGAACTTTCTATAATAGCCCGCCAATCCAAGGAAACTACGAATTTCCTTGACATTCTTTGGTCTCTCCCATTCGGTAATGGCCTCTATCTTCTTGTTATCAACAGCAATTCCCGATCCCGAAACCACATACCCGAGAAAGCCAATTTCCTTTAGCCAAAATTCACATTTAGAAAATTTGGCATAAAGTTGCTTCTCCCGTAGGGTCTCAAGAACAAGTATCAAGTGCTCTTCATGCTCTTCTTCACTCTTTGAGTAAATCAAGATGTCATCTATGAACACAATCACGAATCGGTCCAAGTATTTATGAAATACTCGGTTCATCAAGTCCATGAATGCCGCCGGGGCGTTGTTAGCCCAAACGACGTAACAAGGAATTCAAAATGCCCATACCTTGTGCGGAAAGCACTCTTTGGTATGTCATCTTCCTTAATCTTCAATTGATGGTACCCCGACCTCAAGTCAATCTTCGAAAACGCGGTTGCCCCTCGTAGTTGGTCAAACAAGTCATCAATTCTAGGCAAAGGATACCTATTCTTGATTGTGACCTTGTTCAGTTGACGATAGTCAATACACATTCGAAGTGTCCCATCTTTCTTTTTCACAAAAAGAACTGATGCTCCCCACGGGGAGTGGCTTGGTCTAATGAAACCATTATCCAAAAGCTCTTGCAATTGGGTTTTCAACTCGTTAAGTTCAGCGGGTGCCATACGGTATGGCGGTATGGAGATTGGTTTGGTGCCGGGCTCGACCTCGATCACAAATTCAATCTCTCTATCGGGTGGAAGTCCCGGTAAATCTTTTGGAAAGACATCCGGATACTTACAAACTACCCTCACATCGTCGATGTTCGTTTCTTCTTTGGTTTTGTCAACCACGTATGCTAGATATGCGTGGCATCCCTTTCTCATCATACTTCTCGCTCTCACGGCGGATATGATACAGCTATTTGATCTCCCTCGATCGCCCTCGAAGCGTAGGGTCTCCCCATCATTGCCTTCGAGTTCAAGAACCTTCGTGTAGCAATCTACCCTAGCATGGTTCCTTTCTAGCCAATCCATCCCTAGGATTGCATCGAATTCAATCATGCTCAGCGGTACGAAGTCACACGTCAAGGTTTGACCATTAACCTCCACCCCACAAGATGGATAGTAACAAGTTCTTTTCACGTCGTCCCCTAGTGGTGTTGATACCACTAAGGTTTGCATCAATGGTGCGGATTGCACTCCCAATCTCTTGGCGAACGCTTCATTCACAAATGAACGTTGCGCCCCGGTATCGATAAGGATTCGCGCATCCTTCCCATTAATCCTTAGTGTTCCTACATTCATGAATCGTGTAAGACATCTTTCCTACCCTCCCTACTCATTTATAGAAGGTTACGATGTTCACACGCACGTTAGGGATCAAGAAAAGGTCTTATCGTCGCAAAACGGTGCGAAAAAATCGCACTTCGGCAATCTGGTTGCCAGGCACGGCGTGCCTGGGGTAGGCACGATCGTGCCTGGCTCAGGAAAAAGCCCTGGGGGCTACTGCCTTGGAGGCACGATCGTGTCTGCCTTAGGCACGATCGTGCCTGGTTTGGAGAAACACCTGGGGAGCTACTGCCTTGTAGGCACGATCGTGTCTGCCTTAGGCACGATCGTGCCTGGGCTGGGGAAATTCCTGGGCAGCCACTGACTTGGAGGCACGATCGTGTCTGCCTTAGGCACGATCGTGCCTGGGTTCCAGCCGCCTGAAGTTGCCCGAAATCCCCCGGTTTGACCCCAAAACCTTGTGCAATGATCCTAACGATTAGTAACCTTAACTTTTGGACTAATTAAGGATAAAACACAAGTATACGAGAGGTGATACCTGAAACAGAATCCGGGTTAGCTTGAGCATCCGCCCCCGCCATCGCATGGACTCTAGCGTGAGTCCTCCCTTGATTCACAGACGGCGCGTTACTCACACTTGCTCCGCCATGTTCCTTACTTGCTTGAGAGGCCCCGGCTTGACTCCGTATGCCTATAGTCGTACTACTTGAGCCCAAAGTTTGGTCGGGTACAAGTTGTGGGCAATTCGCATTCGTGTGCCCGATCTCTCTGCATCGGTAGCACCTAGGAGGGTCCCAACACTTACCCGGGTGGTGCTTCTTACAATTTGTGCACTTAGGTACTCTCGAACCTTTTGACCTCGAGCTCTGGCCACCCGAACCTCGGCTCCTCCCAAGCGATAATGTGTGTGCCCCGAAGGTTTTGTCACCCCCAACATTTGTCCTCCTAGAATGTCCTTGGGGGTCGTGGTCTCCCCATTTTCTTTTCCTTTCTAATGGTGCGTCCTTAGCTTGCCTAGCTTGGCGTTTTTGTATAAGCCTAGCACATTCACGTTGAAGCCAATTTATGACCGTGCCCATTTGTTCAATGGGTGCATTATCAAGGTCCTCATCACTCAAATCATCTCCTTCGTCACCCGAAGCCTTGAGTGGTTCAGTTTTGCCATAACAAGATGATTCTTCCTTGGTCTTAACATGACCACCACTCACGATTTGAGCTTCAAGAATTTCATGCACCTTTGGTCCTAAGGGCTTTTCTCGGTTGGCATGCCCGGTTCCACCCGGTGCAAGCCCTTCCGAGTTCTCCCTATTCATAATACCACCATCACCCTCCATCGCTGAAAGAAATAATTAGAATGAGTCATTAGACTCGTTTCAAATGTCAACTGACAGATAGGCACTTAAGACATCTCTTGGGCCAAGTCACCGCCATACCAATCATTAAGGGCGCCATCTTAACAATTAGAGACCTTGCAACTCAAACACCAAAAGTTCTTAAGTACAAAACGTTTTTGCTCATGGTTTTCAAAAATCATTTTGAAAATAGAATTTTGAGACTTCATTATGAAGTTTATGGACTAAGGCTCTGATACCAACTTAATTGTCACGCCCCGGACCTATCCGGACACGTCAACAACCCGCCGTACAATATGAATAGTCAACCGCAGTCCAACACATTCATATTATACAAGGCGTCTTGAATATCATTCACACATGTACATCCATAAACAAACATAATAAGTAATTCATAACGCAGCGGAAAACATTGTTTAAAACAAAGGCCACACCGGGCTATTCATGAGCACGCAGGCTCTATAGTAAAATATCCATAAGCATGTTTATTAATGTTTAAAAACCGAATGGAGGAAGCACGAACCAAGTCTTCCCTCCTAGATGATCACTCGAGCAACGAGCACAGGAAGCAAGCTCTAGCCTCAACCTGAAAAATGGTAGTGGGACGCCCCCGAAGGGGTCAGCACTCTATAGGGCTATAAAGTGCTGGTGTGGATGGCATCTAATAGATATACAACAAGTATTTCAAACACAAGACCCTCAAATAGGGTGATAATATAATCTAGGCCGTAACCCCAAGTTACCCCTTTTCAAAAAATATACTTACTTTATATATAATGTCAAGTAGTCGGCCCGTAGGCCCAAGGTTTGTTTATCAAACATACCCCAAAATCCCGTGACCCCTAGTCACAACAATACATAGGGTTCAACCCCAACACATATGTTTGCATTCTCGAGTCCAACTCGACTACATCACCATGCACCTTAATTAACATAAGCTAACTACTCCACCGTGCATTTCTCGAGTCCAACTCGACTACACCACCACGCACAACAATCACCTCATCATGTCTACCCAATGCAATTCTATGAGCACGGCTCAAGTACATCTCCTTACATTGGCATAGACCCCAATTCCTAAGCACTACAATCTCCTCATCATGTCTACCCAATGCAATTCTATGAGCACGGCTCAAGTACATCTCCTTACATTGGCATAGACCCCAATTCCTAAGCACTACAATCTCCTCATCATGTCTACCCAATGCAATTCTATGAGCACGGCTCAAGTACATCTCCTTACATTGGCATAGACCCCAATTCCTAAGCACTCACTATGCCTAGAATTGTAATATCAATAATGTCACGCCCCGGACCTACCGGACACGTCAACAACCCGCCGTACAGTACGAATAGTCAACCGCAGTCCAACTCATCCATACTATACTAGGCGTCTTGAATATCATTCACAATAGTACATCCATAAACAAACATAATGTAAAATAATCATTTAAATCAGCGGAAACGTTTAATACAAGTGTTTATGCCACACTTCGGCAACATGGGCGTACAAGCCCCAAATAATTAATCAAAATAATATCCATGAGCATTAATTTAATGTTTTAAAAATAGAACGGAGGAAGCACGAACCACGTCTTCTCTCCCTGAGCTCCCCGAAGCAACGGGCGATGGTAGCAAACTTTACTCCCTACCTGAAACTGTGAGGTGGCCTCCCCCGTGAAGGGGAGGTCAGTACTTGGAAGCATTTGACAAGTACAATGACAACTATACTAAGTATAATCAACGTTTTAATTTCTAAGACCCTCAAAATAGGGTGATATCATAATATAATGATAGTTCTTCTTTAACCCTTATTATCTTCATAATAAGTAAATTTATTTATTTGTCGGCACACGGCCCATTTCATATAATTCATTATACCCGTCGTTAGCACGACACCGCCCGTAGGTCTTATCATCCTTTACGAGACTTGTCACCGCTCTCCGAGGCCTCACCGGGCTCTCGGGCCGGAGTCCAACATCCCGCCCCTGAACTCATACCCATCATCCCGTAGGAAGGTAAGGTCCATTCGGGGTCCTATCTTATGTGTTACCGCTGTCGGGAGCCTCGTAAGGTCTCCGGTTCGGATTCCACCCTAACCCGTGATCACGATGTAAGTCCATGCTATCCAACCCCGCTCTCTAGAGTCGGGAAGGGCCATGGTCCTTACTAATTTCCAATACTCTATCGGCTAATCCTTAAAGACTACCGAATACACCCGTAGGCCAATCCTATTCCTAGGATCAATTTACTATTCACTTTATCTTGGGTATCCCTTAAGGCCTACCCCTAGCATCACTTATCCACCTTAATATCTCTTAAGACTACTTAAGGCTCATCAATTTACAATCCAAACCTTGGATCAATTCTAACATATTTCATTCCAAAACCCCGACTAGTATCATAATACTAGTCGGATAAATTCCAACAAAACTCATTTTCAATTCATAGTCATATTTACAATTTCCAAACTGATTTTCCATTGAAAATATAGTTCATATCAATACACAAAATATAACCTTTAATCACTCATATATCCTTATATGAAGTTAAAGTTATATTTCAACGCAATATTTATAATTAATCCTTTCATCAAGCCAATATGCTCATATTACATAATCATACACAATTTACCCTTAAATTTGTATATTATGCTCCTTCATTCATTGACAACAATATTTTCATTTAGGCATTATTAATCATTAATAATCCATGAAAATCACATTTAATTACTTTAGGTAATCCTACGAAATTAACCCAAAGATTATAAGCAACATAGTCAGCCATCCTCACCTTATGAAGTGCTGGATTAGTTGCCTTTGATAAGCCCTTCGATCGATCCCCGTTCTAAACCGATCAAAGGCGAAATTCCTGGACAGTAGCCCAAAAGCCGGGCGGCTTTCACCAAAAGCCGGGCGGCTTTCGTAGTCTGCAACTACGAACAGCTTCTTCTCCTTGGCGGTTTCCGGTGGTTTCAACTCCTATCGATTCCACGACTCTCCTAAGTTAAATACCACCCCTATATAACATTATTCCACACTTTTAAACGTGTAGAACTCCATGTTTGATCCACCACATGATTTCTTAGAAATCATGCAACAAAACTAGTAAAAAGAGTAGAAGTGGTGTTCTTACCTCTTCTTCTTGCTCTTTCTTGTTGGGGTTTCCCTCTTGATGCTCCCTCTACCTTAGCCTTGTTGAGATAACCCCCTGGAGCTCTTCCCTCTTGTGTGGTTCGAATGAGTGCAAGAAGTGGGTGGGAGAGCCTCCTCAATCAACTCTCAATAGTGAATGGAGAGTTTGGAACATGGGAGTGTCTCTAGGAGACTTCCCTCTCAATCATCCGCACACCACCAAATGGTGTGGTCCCCCTCCCTTATTTTGAGTCTAATCAGTGTGTAGGATACCCCAAGTGGGTGTAGAAAGTCCCTCCCAATTATTCCTGCTATTTTTGGCAGGTTGGGCCAAAATAGCACTCGGGTTGTCCAAATATTTTTATCAACTTCGGTTGGCGTTTTATTGGACTCCTACAATTTTATTATGATGCCCCAACTAAATATTTGGTAGCCCATTCTCATATAATGGACCCGATATATAATTTAATTAATCATGCATTAATTAAATATGCCAATCAATTATATGAATTTTATTTGCTAGGAAATTCAAATTCATATCCTCTTTAAATTTCAAGTACAATCGGGTGCGGTGTCACAAGTTCACCCCCCCTTAACGGGAATTTCGTCCCCGAAATTCACAAATGCTTATTCAAACAGAAATGCATATTGCTCCTTCATCAAGGCTTCTGTTTCCCAAGTTTCTTCTTCAACTCGGTCACTCTTCCAAAGGATCTTAACCATTGGAACTTTCTTGCTCCTTAGTTTCTTTACTTGCCTATCAAGTATTCTCACCGGTCGTACGGTATAGTTCAAGTCCTCCCGTATCTCCACGGGTGGTTTCTCCAACACGTGAGACGGGTCCGGTACATATTTCTTCAGCATAGACACGTGGAACACGTTATGTATCTTCTCCAATTCTGGAGTCAACTGTAATCGGTATGCCACGGCCCCGATTCTTTCAAGAATCACAAATGGCCCAATGTATCGTGGGTTAAGTTTCCCTCGGCTTTGGAACCGGATGATTCCTTTCCAAGGTGAAACTTTCAAGAATACCTCATCCCCCACCTGAAATTCCAAGGCTCTCCGGCGCTTATCGGCATAGCTCTTCTGTCTATCCTGGGCCGCCTTAAGCCTTTCTCGAATTACCTTCACCTTTGACTTGGTGATCTCCACCAATTCCGTGCTCTCGAGCTTGGCCATGCCAACCTCATCCCAACACAACGGTGTACGACATTTTCTCCCATACAATGCTTCGTATGGAGGCATGCCGATACTTGCCTGATAACTGTTGTTATAGGCAAACTCAACGAGTGCTAAATGGTTGTCCCAACTTCCTTGGAACTCCAATGCACAAGCTCTCAACATATCCTCCAAAATCTGTATAACCCTCTCGGATTGCCCATCTGTCTGGGGATGAAAAGCAGTGCTGAACTTCAACTTCGTTCCCATGGACTCCTGGAACTTCGGCCAGAATCGTGATGTGAATCGTGGATCCCTGTCGGATACAATGGTTATAGGAACCCCATGTAGCCTCACGATCTCATCCACATACAATTTGGCTAATCTCTCAAGTGCATAGGTAGTGTTGATAGGTAAAAAATGTGCACTCTTCGTGAGCCTATCAACCACAACCCATACGGCATCATAGTTCCTCACAGTTCGTGGTAGCCCTACCACAAAATCCATAGTCACGTGTTCCCATTTCCATTCTGGAATGGAAAGTGGTTGCAATAACCCCGCTGGATGCTGATGTTCTGCCTTAACTTGCTGGCAAGTAAGGCACCGACTGATGTACTCGGCTATTTCCCTCTTCATACCCGACCACCAGTAACTCTCTTTCAAGTCACGGTACATCTTCGTGCCCCCTGGGTGCATGGCATAGGCCGATGAATGAGCTTCCTCTAAGATGGACTTTCGGAGCCCCTCATCCGATGGTACACACACTCGGTCACGAAATAATAAGAGACCATCATCTCTTTCCCTGAAGTCCTCCACTGGTCCCGCTTGCATGCGTTCCCGGATCCTCATGATTTCCTCGTCAGTTTCCTGACCCTTCCTGATCTCATCAAGCAAAGTAGGTCTCACCTCAAATCGTGCCAATAAGGCTCCATTACTGGATACCTCCAGTTGGGCTCTTAAAGCCCTCAAGTTAGCTATCAATGCCCCAGATGAGCTCTTCCGGCTCAAGGCATCTGCCACCACATTGGCCTTGCCTGGATGGTACTCGATTACCAGGTGGTAGTCTTTTATCAACTCCATCCACCGTCTCTGCCTCATGTTTAACTCTTTCTGAGTAAACACGTACTTCAAGCTCTTGTGGTCAGTGTATATGTGGCATGTCTCCCCGTAGAGATAATGTCTCCATATCTTAAGTGCAAACACCACTGCCCCGAGCTCCAAATCATGAGTAGGATAATTTACCTCATGTTTCTTCAATTGTCGTGAAGCATATGCAATTACCCTCCCCATT